GGTGTTTTATAAGAGCTCCCAATGGTTTGTTTTGATGCGTTTATTCCACATCCTATATGGCTCCTGTCAAACAGTTTAAGGTTTGTTTTGATGCGTTTATTCCACATCCTTTATGGCTCCTGTCAAACAGTTTAACCGAACGTAAACAATCATTTAACAGTGCTTCAAGCAGTTTTTGTAGCTTTTAACCAAATGGTAATACAACTACATTCTTGTACAACTCTGGAAGCTATTATTCAACGTTTGATCAACTCAGGTGTTGTATAAGAGCTCCCAATGGTTTGTTTTGATGCGTTTACTTCACGTTCTATATAGCTCTTGTCAATCGGTTTAACTAAGGTGCTATAAAAGTTATCGTAGGTCTTATAAAGCATATAGGTAAACCGAACGTAAACAATCATTTAAGAGTGCTCCAAGCATCTTTTGAAGCGTTTAACCAAAAAGGCAATACAACAACATTCTTGTACAACTCTGGAAGCTATTATTCAACGTTTGATCAACTCAGGTGTTTTATAAGAGCTCCCAATTGTTTGTTATGATGCGTTTATTCCACGTTCTGTATAGCTCTTGTGAATCAGTTTAACTAAGATGCTATAAAAGTTATCGTAGGTCTTATAAAGCATATAGTTAAACCGAACGTAAACAATCATTTAAGAGTGCTCCAACAGCTTTTAAAACTTTTAATCAAATGGCAATACAACTACATTCTTGTTCAACTCTGGAAGCTATTATTCAACGTTTGATCAACTCAGGTGTTTTATAAGAGCTCTCAATTGTTTGTTGGGTTATGTGAGGTCAATTTTAGAATATTGTAGCGTTGTTTGGTCACCCTATATGAAAAAGCATGAAGAACGAATAGAGTCAATCCAAAAGCAATTTTTATTATATGCATTACGTAAGTTAGGTTGGACGGCTTTTCCTCTCCCGTCATATGAAGCACGTTGCTTGCTGATCAGCATTCAAACATTGAAAGAACGTCGGGATTACGCAAAGATTTCTTTATTAAACAATATCATTTCGCAACGCATTGACTCAGCTGATCTATTGTCAAGGTTAAATTTGTATGCACCTTCCCGACAATTACGCAATCGACAGTTGTTCGCAGTAGATCGCCATCGGACCAATTACGCTAAATTTGGACCGGTAAATCAGATGATGACTGTTTATAATCATCATTGTGAAATGATTGACCTAAATATGCCCTCAACAGAATTAAAAATATATTTCAGAACCCTGCGAAGTCATAGAACATAAGTCTTAATGTTAATATGTAGTCTACGATTTGATTGATTGACGAATAAAAAAAAATAAAATAAAATAGATTATTCATAAAATGTATAAGTCAATTAATAAGCAGTCGCCTTGCAAAAAGTTAATAAAGATCATGTGTCAAATGAAATGTATAAATGGTCACACATACCGTTTATGCATTCTTATAGGACGTATGTGGTTTGTCTTATGGAATGTATATGGCTGATGTTTTGGCGAAAATATATAAGTGAAACACATGAATAAAGTAATTAATCTTCGTTTCGTGAGGGAGGCAGCTCCCATACCTCCCATATCGATCCATCAACTCATGAACCAGGGACCAACGGCTTCATTTCCCTTTTGAAAGAAGACTTGATAAGGACTTTAGGCATCAGAAAATCCGGCTGCACCGACTGGGACTGAACCCAGGCCTTTTGGGGTGAGAGGCAATCACGCTTACAAAATCAATCACCACTGGCGCCGCTAATCTCATTTAATGATAGAAAATAAAATTTGTCGATTTAATTGATTCCTTATAGCTAATGGTCATTTAAATTTTTACTGACTTTTTCAGCAATTCATTCCGCAGGCTGTGTAATATTACGCTTTGCGATATACACCGATTTTGCGAACAACATTACATGAATGAATTAATTACATGTAAGGTAAAATAGTGCACGATATCTGAAGGAACGCAGAAAAAATGCGCGCTGCGAAACGAACCGACGGAGAATGACAAGTGCTGTGAACAATGTGATTGGTGAGGCAGAAGAAAAGAAGTCAGCTGTTTCATTATCACGACATTCTAATGCATAATATAGTGTGACGTAACGTTGGATCATGCGTAAGAACACCGTGAGAACGAAAGAGTCGACTACATTCCTTCTGCCGCACCGCACACGGTTCCCGCGCTGACTGTTCCTTACTTTCTCACTCTAATCAAAATTTCTTTCGATGAGTGAGAAAACAGCACCCCGTCAAGGCGAGCAATAACGCGAGTTGCCAGATCATTGCACACAAAACCAACTTGAATTAATTCAAAACAAAAATACTAGCGAACCTGGCGGTGAGGGGCGGAAGGTGGACTAAAATTCTATTACAGAGAACCACATTATTTTAATTAATTTCTTCGGAGAAAGTCGTCTGTCACTTCGTTTGTGGTACTACCCACCACAGTGTATTCAACAGATGGCGGTAATGTTTTAGTGACGATGTTTTACAATGAGAAATATTCAATGTGTTATGTCTGTTTGTCTGTGGTACTAGAGTTTCGACTAGAATGGGGTACGTTAATCGTTTGCATGGGACCAATAGGTTAGTCAAGTAGTGAGCCAATTTAAAATCGTTAGTTTCGTATTGATTGTTGACATAACGTTGTACGATGTACATCGATTTTGCGAACAAAATTACATCCATTGCTTTTTGCTATTACATCATTATTTCATACATCAGCACTCATAAAATTACACACATTTTTATTGACGAATATCCATGTAAAATCCCGCATAAACGCAAACCATCACTTGACCTTACCGATAATGGTTATAAATTGTTTATAATCCCTCCTAAACTTTAACTGGAATGGTTTTGGAACCTTACATGAACGTTTGTGTGATAAAGTTTTAACCTTATGTATTATGGTTTTTAGGAAGCGGACCTTACAAATAATGGGTCGTTAAGAACCATTACCATTCCAAATTCTTGTTTTCTTCATACATTTTCGGAAAGAGAACTATATTAGAACGTTTTTACTTATGGTTTGAGAACATTAATGATTATGGCTATGGTAGTCAGTAAGGTCGTTTTGTATTATCGCTCAACTTTACGTGGAATATATCGCGAACTGATAATTATTAATTTACAGGCAACCAATTCGCGATATATTCCACATAAAGTTGATCGATGTTACAAAACCATTCATGGGCCTTACTGACTACCATAACCATAACCATTAATGTTCTCAAACCATAAGTAAAAACGTTCTAATATAGTTCTCTTTCCGAAAATGTAAGGAGAAAACAAGAATTTGAAATGGTAATGGTTCTTAACAACCCATTATTTGTAAGGTCCGCTTCCTAAAAACCATAATACATAAGGTTAAAACTTTATCATACAAACGTTCATGTAAGGTTCCAAAACCATTTCAGTTAAAGTTAAGAAGGGATTATAGACAATTTATAACCATTATCGGTAAGGTCAATTTATGGTTCGCGTTTATGCGGGATTCCACATGATTTTCATGTGACCACACATAAACAGAATCCACTCAGAAGCACACATGAAATTTATGAGTCAAATGAATAGTATGTGTGGTTACACATGGCTTTTATGTGTACACATATTAAGTATGTGCCTGACACATAGATATCATTTGTTGGTCACTTTTATACTCGCGAGTTTTCGGTTGAGGACAAATGAAAAAGATATGTTTCTCGTTCGAGGTTTCAGAACAGACTAATCGTCTGGTGTATTTTCATATACTCGAGCCCTTCGGCTGGTCGGTTCGTTCTGGGTGACGATGACGATCGTTAAACATCTTACTGTATGACATTTGAAATGATTCAGAGCGCGCCAGGGGTGCGCAAACAAATCCCAACAATCACATTGCAAAAGATCATGTGTGGGACACATAAAAACAATCTTTGAAATTTTATCAGTGAGCTTGAATTACATTGATCGATTTTACATTTTTTTTGCTGTGTACCAAATTTAAGTTTTCAATATCAGTAAAACGGATTGCAGGATCATGATCAGCAAACCAATGCTTTGCTAAAAAACAGCAAACGATATTTTTACCGAAAAATTCTTGTGTAAATTTTAAAAAGAACCAATGTAACATATCAAGAGCAAATTTCGCAAATTTAAATTACGTCGAAGGTGACAAAGGTAAACCTATTGTTCCCAAACAAATCGATAAACGTACCCCATTCTAGTCAAAATTCTAGTACTACACAATGTTTGTTTTGATTCGCTATGAAAGATTGACAGATGAAATGAAGGGTTATTGGATTTTCCTATGTTTCGAGGGGTGAATCGATTAGCTTGGGACCGAAGATAGTACCAGAGGTGTGCCAAAAAGTTGAGCACGTTTCTTCGGGACCTACTAGTCTTAAGGCCGGCGCACAATAGATACGTTTTCAGGTTTTTTGACAGTTAACCCATGCATTATCTGTCAAAAAACCCGAAAACGTACCTATTGTGCGCCGGCCTTTAGAGTTACCTCTATGGTTATATTATACGTATACGTATACACAACCGATGGATTAACCTGGTTGCAGCAGTCTGGATGTAATATTCAACAACTTTTTTTTTTCTGTGTACGCAGGCGTTTGTTTTATAAAAGTCAGAAAAGTTACCGCACTGAGGCTCTGAACCATTTGGTGGATTATTTTAACTTTTGGTTAAAATTTGACAGATGGAAAGTTATCGATGAACCCTGCTATCCGAGCATGGTTATTTCTGACAGACAAGAAGTTAATTTTTGACAACCGTGGCTCGAAAACCGGTCGATCGACAGCACGGGGATTTTCGAACATAGCAAATAACTTTCAAAATGTCACTTTTAACCCCGAGTTTAATTTAACTCGCCAAATGGTTCACAGCCTGAAAAAGCTCCCACCTTGAATCAGTCTTGTGCAATATTTCAAATGCCATCCCATTCCTATCCTTCTGTTTGTTTTCGAAATTCAAATTATTTCGAATTTACCACGAAAAGCTGTCAAATTTGTCAGAAGAGTTTTTTCGTTTTCATTCGCAAAGTCGGGCATTTTCATCAGTCTCGTTCTTCGCTGATGGTGTGAAATTTCGTCGTCTTTTTGTCCGTAAACTAAACTGAGATTTTAAGAGAGTATTCAAAATGTACACTGCGGCCACTTTGGTGTAGTTAGTGGATGAAGGAGGAAGGAAATTATCAGCTTTAGTGTATGCGGTTCGATTAAAAAGTGTTAGCAGCAAAGAATCAAAATTTAATGTTTTGAGGAAAAAATAGTTGCCCATAAAAAAATTATCCGGTCGTGCTAGAAGCAAACGGATTATCGTGCTAAAAATAGGCGTCATCGCGTCCGCGACATATAATCCCAAATAATAAATTGTTGTACGAGGTGCAACTGGTGTAAAAGGTGTTTCCTAGCGTTGTAGATGCTTTACTGCAGCAGCTGAAACAGCTGAGAAAACCAGCCCCACAAAAGAAGAAAAACGAGTGTAAATTATTAAGCGCACTGCAGCAGCCCGAATAAAGGGAGAAAGTGCCCAAAATACGGAGGAGAGTACTCAGTTTTGCTCGTCAGTGTAAAGATAAGTTAGGAACAAGGAAGATACCGTGTATTTACTGTCCGGTGCAGTGAATTTCTGGAAACGACGATGGATGAGCTATCCGAAGCGGAGTTGCGTTACTACAATGACCTGTTCAAGATCTGCAGCGAATCGTCGGACAGTAGTGGAAAGATTCCGGCTCTGAAGGCGACTTCACTGTTCAGGTCGGCCAATCTGTCCAACGAAGTTATCAACAAGGTAGGTTTGGATGGATTGCATCGTTACGAGTTTTTTATTTGTTTGGTCTGGTAATTATTATAGAAATCCGTATTTATTTTTAGTCAATTTTGTAATAATGTAATGAATCGACTCGAAGCACTAATAATTTACCTATCTAATTAAATTTCCTAGGAAGCATGTCTTTCGAGGATTTTTATTCATTCGTTAATTTACCAGTTATTCCTGATAATAATCTTTGAGTACACCTCCGTAGACTACGTTAAATCCGACAGCCGCGAAAAGTTAAAAATGCACTTGACAAAATTGAATTTGAATAAACTTAATAATGCGTCAAAGGATACGTCCGCGTAGTACTCCTATTGGATTAGTAAATCTGTTTAAGTATAACATATCTCAACTAAGTGAGTTCCGTAAACCGAGTGAGTTCCGAACGCCGCGTGAAACAGCAGAAAAAAACAGCTAATTAGCAGAGTGCCACCAAATTAAATATGATAACCTATGCTTACAAGTTCATTAATTTTTGTTTCCTCCCTAAATATTTTATTACTATTATAGAGATTCTAAAATTTTGCGTCCGTACCGACTTTTCTGCGTAAATTTGATTCAATGGAATATTTTCATATTTCCTTGCAAAGTAGTCAATTACAACCCGACAAATTTAAGATACAGTCTAAACATAGTTTCACTTCCTCAGAACCAGTTTCCTGGAAAATATAACGTTTTTATTTTCAGACTTTTAAAAAGTTACGTTTTATCGAAGCAAAATTTTACGTAACATGACTGTACATTAGATGAATTTTGTTAGAGAGGAGTGTCTAACGAGTTCTTCACAAAATATGTAATTATTAGTTTACTGCTTTGCCTCCCTCCCAAGAAGAGTTTTACCGGGTATTTTTTTTTCTTTTCTTGGTGCTGGCATTCTGCCTTCCGGAGGATGCACGCGAATGAGGTGTCAAGCAAAAATTCGGTGCAAATGAAATACTTCGAATGTGATTCAAAATGTCGTGTTGGGTTGTAAAAACAACGCGGAAGATTTTTTCGATTACCGCGAGGGAACAAACCGGTCCTTTTTCGGAGCCAGAATTTGGTGAGATCCATCTGATTTATAATCAATCATAAATGCATATTTCCATATATTACTAAATACGCGCCAGATTTCGAAACATCACATTTCGAAATCTGGAAGTGTGTTTGCAGTACCATTATTCATATGATAATGGTAGTGTTTACATGCGGGGCTTATTGTATGTGAAAGTAACCTCGAAATGGACGTGAATTACCAGGCATACTGAAATGGGTTGCTGAATCTGCAGTAGAGCTATCGCTTTCTAACTCCCGGACTAAACTTGCTTTAAATTATTACATCAAGGATTGTTGTAAGCAAATTTCTTCCATAATACCACTGCCGGCCAGTGGGGGTTAGATTGAATACACACACACACACACTTCGTATTTTTCGAGCCACAAAAAATGTAAATATTAATGTCAACAAATAGCCATTTTTATACAAACAAAATTAAACTATTGTAAATTTGTTCGTACTAAACGTATTTTAATAGAAGTGAAGCCAAATGGAAGATCTATGGTTTTTTTCATAAATGAGCAAAATTTCAGCTCATTTACCTCCTTGTTCTTAAATATACAGCAGTTTAAAAAAAAGGTTCTCACATAAGAAGAGCTTTACTAAAATTGCTTGTTAATAATGAAAACTAACTAAGCTAACTGTCGACAGTCAAGTTATTTTTTAATGGTTTTTGGAAAAATTAAAAGGTGCTGATTAGCGAAGCACACGTGATCGGTAGGAAACGTGTCTGTATGTGAAAAAAATGCTAAAAATAAAACTATAGCAACCGGTGGGATACGATTACGAATTGATTAGGATTTCAGGAGTTACCCAAGGCAGCAATTTGGGATCGCTCTTATTCTCGGTATTCATTAACGAAATCGGTTTGATACTTCCAACTGGCTGCCGAAACTAAAACCTATTGCATTCAATTATACGATCGATTACCAACCTCTAGTGATCTAGAAATTATACTTGATTCTGCTTTGAAATTTAAGCTACATTACACGGATATCATACACTGAGGAAATAATTCGTTCGAATTTCATACGAAATGCTTATGGATTTCAACCAAAAGATTTTGTTTTAATTGTCATACGATAGCATTATGAACGCACGCCTTCGTTATCGTTTCCAGAACAACATGTGAAAAGGGCATACAAGCTTTTTGTAAACAAACCTTTGTAGGCCCTTTTCTCACCAACCGAGGGTCGCTCACGCAAACCAGCAATATCATCGGGAAGGGGAAAGTGTCCCCTACCCGGTGATGTTAAAGGTTTGCATTGGTGTCATATGGGTGGCGAGAAAAGGGCATAAGAAGGTTTGTTTACAAAAAGCTTGTATGCCCTTTTCACATGTTGTTCTGGGTTTATGATTTTCACTACACTGAGGAAATAATTCGTTCGAATTTCATACGAAATGCTTATGGATTTTAACCAAAAGAATTTGGTTTGAATTTCATACGATAGCATTATGAACGCACGCCTTCGTTATCGTTTATGATTTTCACTATATATTGATATGAGTTTCATAAAGCTGTCGTATGAAAATAGTACGTTATGATTATGAAAACCATATTTCATTCATATGGATTTTGAATGAGAGGAATACGGAATATAATAGTATCAAATATGAAATCGTGTATATTTATGCTCCTTCAGATTTAGTTTTATTTTTCATGTGAAATGAATTTAATTTAGTAAAACAAACAATTAAATAATTTGATTTGCATTGTTTATTTGATTTAACCTGCAGCCAAAATAAATCAATTGAAAAAGACATTAGTTTATATTAGCACGAGACAATCATCGACAGATCGTTTCATACGAACGACGTATTATTTTTTTTTCACACAAGGTAAACTAATAAAGTTCATCATAGTCTCGTATGAACATCAAACGCGTTTCGTATGAAAATCATAATTGTAATTACAATTTGTATAAGCCTGCTATGGAAAACATACGTCGTATGGAATTATTTTTTAGTTCAAAATGCTCGTTCATACGAAACGTATTATAAAAATCTTAATTCTAGTTTTCTCAGTGTAGGCAAAGCTAGCAGGCAACTCGGATTCATCTTTAAGATCTCTGATGAGTTTCGGGATCCTACTTGCCTGACAGTTCTATACTGTTCTCTGGTGCGATCGATCTTGGAATTTAGTGTAGTAGTAAGGTGTCCGTATGAAATAGTTTGGATAGCTAGGATCAGGTTTGGAAATACTCATTACAGCTAAAATGCTACTTTTCGAAATTATGAAACTGTGAGATATTATATTAATAATTTTTAATTGTAAGATGCAAAAAGAGGAGGTATTTGTGTATGACAAATCAAATCTGTGTATTTTGCTTTCAGAGGATCACAATTAGCAATTTTAGCTGTAATGAGTAATCTCGACGAGTGAGTACTATTCGTTATGGCTAATCGCTGATTGTGACACTCTGGAAGCGAAATTGGCTGGTTTTATGCGTTATACACAAACGTTACCTCCTCTTCTTGCATCTTACTTGTAAACATTATTATTATAATATTTCATAGTTTCATCCCTCCCCTTGGCTAGTTTTTGCACCTTGCTGTTGGTGGGCGGGCTAACTTTCATGCTTTTTATAGTGGAGTGTTAGAGACGGTAGGTTTATGGTCGGTGTTGCTGGCTCATGCCGCGATAGAATGGAGTCATGGGCAAGCAATGGGGATTACTAAGCTTCCCTCTCTGATAAACCACTGCATGAGAGAACCAAAGATCTAGTCTAGCAGTGATAGTATCACACTTGTTACTCCTTTAATTGAGAGCCGCGTCGTAGTACGCTTACGTATAGGCAATGACGTTGGGTGTGATACTGGCGGGTTTTTCCGCAAATCACTCTTATTTTATTTATTTTTACGCAGATAGATTCATTTGGGTTTGCAAGGGAATTATACTATTGAAATATTTCAGAAAGTGCCCAACAGTGCTCCTTCTATTTGCGTGACAAGCTTTCATTGTTGTTTTCATTGAAGTATTACTCAGAAAACAATGGTAAACATCATTTTTGTACATGGTATTGTAACTAATCTTATATGTGCTTCATTTTGATTTGGGATAAGTGTTTGAACTATGGCTCGGGATTTCCACTGTGGTTTGCTTCTATTGTGACATACCCATATGTGGAAACGTGAGAGCGTAGTTGGAACATTTACCCTATACAATATACAATTTAAAATTAGCTTGGAAACTAACTTCAAAGTGAAGCATTTGAGTCACTTGAAGGTGTCATCTGGGACGAACAAAGATATAATTAATATATGTAAAAACCAGAAGTACTTGAAACACGTTAAATTGTAGTTTAAAAGCATGGGTTATGACTGTGTAGGTAGATTAGAGATTTCAGTTATTTATTAAATAAACTTCAATTAGAGAATTCTCGCGTCACTTTTCAAATAGACCAATGTAACATATCCACCATTTTGAGAAAATCGAAGTTGAAGTTCGACAGATTATTATTTTAACTGTTTAAAAACAATACATTTTGCAATACTATTTTTAATGTAGTCAGTGTATAATATCGTAGAAAATTCAGAAGAAACGGTAAAATCACAATTTTACTTTGAATTTCATGCTACAACATAGAAAAAACCACATAGGACGTTTTGACAAGTCGAGTTGTACATCGGACACGTTACATTGGACGATTTTTCTCAATGACATAATCAATGAGTGTTACATTGGACGTTTTGTCTACATGATACTAGATTCCCTTTCACAGATTTCAGAGTATAGTACCTAACTTTAGATTGGCCCCGCCTTTGGAAAATGAGCACCAATTATGTTAGGCAGTCCGAATGACCGAAGTAACAATCATGTACCCATCATTTCAAACTGTACATTGGACAATTTTTTACCTATGATTATCTTATATAAATGAAAGTGATTTTGGATGGATGTTTTTGTACGGCATACAATGATAGAAGAGCAACAGTT